GTTTTGCGAGATCCCGAGTTTGTTTTGCGAGATCTCGCAAAAGTCCGTCTTAATTTTTTTTTCTCTCATGTCCCCTGCGGGGCTCCGTACCATTACACTGTTACCGCCACCCTAAACTTTTGATACAAGGCATGTTGTTTTCTGACCTGACCATTACACCAGCAAGCAGAGACTCATTAGAACAAGCAACATTTTTCCATTCTCCTGTTGTGTTAATTTGAGCAAACTGGAGCCTCAGTTTGCATGTTCTTAGCTGAGGGGAGTGCCACCCAGTTCAGTCCGTCTGCTTCAAGGTTCGTGTGGTTAGTAACATATGGCCAGGTGATGCTCTCCTCCAGCTACAGGACTGTTTTAATCTGGCAAACTGGTCCATTTTTAAACAACAGGATCTGAAGACCTTCAATCACTCTGTCTTTTTCTACATTAACTGCTGTGTAGAAAATGTGACAGTGACAAAAACTTAACTGAAAACCTTGGATGACAAGTAAAATCCAGGCTCTGATCAGAACTCGTAACTTAACCTTCATGCTGAGGGTCATTTCCTTGTGCAACCTGCCAGTGCCAACCAGAGGATGGGTATTAAGCAGGCAAAAGAGGCCTATAAGAAGAGTATCGAGGGCTCACTGATAACAACCCCCTGCCAGGTGTGGAGAGCCATCCCAAGCTCTCACCAACTACAAAGGCCAGAGCCCCCCAACTGCCGACAGCAGCCTCAAACTCGCAGAGGACCTCAACACCTTCTTTGGAAGGGTGCTCAACCTCTCCCTGACTCATGCCACCGTTCCCACTAATCTGAAGGTCTCCACCATCATTCCGATCTCAATGACTACAGACCTGTAGCCCTCACGTCTGTAGTCATGAAGTTTTTGGAGCAGATACTGTCTCAGCACATCAGAGACTGTCTACCACCCTTCCTTCACCCGCACCAGTTTCCTTACAGAGCAAATTCTTCACTCACCTTTTTTTCTCATTCTGATGTTTGGTTTGAACTTCAGCAGGTTGTTTTGACCATGCTGAATTACTGCCATGTGATTAGCTGATTCAGTTTTTGTGTTAATAAGAATTTACACAAACATTTTTATCTGGATTTCCTGTGCTGTTGCTACATGTGGGAAACCCTTCCCCCTACTGTTCTTCCCTATTACGAGTCTGATCTCTTCTGCAAAGATTTGCATGTATTTTCACTAAATTGACCAGTGCAGCGCTGAACTGACCAGGTTTTGGTTTCAAAATTACATCAAACCTTTGTTTTAAACATGGAGCATATTTTCCATGCAGTAAAAATAAATAAAGTCAGTAAAGGCCCTTTGTTGTGGTGGATGTGATATAAAATGCAACTAATTTGTGAAATTGAATTTGTTTCACTTGTAGCTTTCGCCCAAGTTTCTGCACAGCAACTCCACCAGCCACACCTGGCCCTTCAGCGCTATAGCTGAACTGATTGGTGAGTCACTGTGATCTCATTGTATTTTGAGGTTGGTTTCTATTTCACTTCCAATTCTGAGAACAACAGCTTAACGACACAGACAGATGATTATATAACATAGTCAAATATTTACTTGATTGAACC